AAGGATGCAGGCAGGAGGAAGCAGTGTTGTACGGAAGAGAGGCAAGTGGTTGGGTTTGCTGTGATTTCCTGTGGTTTCCTGTCACTTGGGTTGTTTTCCACACAGAGATTTGATTAATTGGAAGGAAAATGGTGCTAGACGAGACAGGAAAGCAATAGCACATAGGCTTATGGGACAGAAGGGCTCAGTGTTAGGAAGGGCTGGAGGTGTGGAGTTACTACATGGAAGAAAGCACAGGAGGCAGTTTTAGATAGACACAGGTAGAGAAGCCTCATTCACAAGAGTAGAGGACATATCATTCCTGCCAGGGAGAGGAGTGATGGGTCATTCAAAGGCAGTTAGGGCTTGAAATAAGCAGCCTGGATCCATCCCATGTGTCAGAGCATGGACTGAAGCTGCAGTTAGTCTCTGTATAAAGATACACCAAAATCTCCAAATTCCCTAGTGTGCAGGGGAGTTTTCCTGGCACAGATCTTGCCCCACATTCTTCCTGGAGCCTGGGCTGTCCCCGTGGCTGTGGAGGGACTGTCTCTCCACCCATTGCAGGCAGGGAGATGTTACAGGAGAATTTTGTGTCTGCACTGGTAGGGCTGGCTATCACCTCAGGTGTAGACCTGCCTTGGTGTTCCACTGCAGCTCAGGCTCACCTGGAGGATCTTCCTTCACCTTACCTGGAGGTTTCTGTCGATAAGCCAGTTGGTTTCAAAGTCATCATCATCCTCCCCAAAAGGGTTGATGAGCTGCTCAGCCACCTGTATGTGGAGCACATTGCAAAGGTCACCATGGTCATACCTGTCCCTTTCCCTGCAGGGAAAAGGCCTGTGGGGCAGTCAGGTGTGATGTCCCTTGAATTCCAAGCAATGCTGTTCCTCCCAGGGGTGGGTTAAAAGCGGAGGCTTGCCAGTGGCTCTCCCCCACCCCAAGGAATCACAGCTCTCCTGCACCTGCAGGTAAAGTGCAGCCTATTGCCTCTCTTTCTCCCCAAAGTAGTGAGGACCAAAGCTTAGGAAAGGTGGAGCTGGTCTCCAGGGTGAAACACTTGGAAACAGAAGCTCTTGGCAACTCCCTCAGCCCCTCCTGGCTTTCCATTGTTGCCCACAGATCAAAGAACACAACAGGGCTCCTGGTGAGCTCACACTGAGAAAAACCCTTGGCTGAGTCAGATTCCAGCTCCAGACATATTTTTTTTGACTTACCTTTAACCAACCAGCATAGAAGAAGAACTGCAAGAACGTAAAGACAGGCACGAAGAGATCTAGTTCATGGCCAGGATATGCTTTTTCTGGATCCAGGAACTGCCTCCCAATCAAACAGGCCAGGAAGAAGCTGTAAACAGCCACGGTCACTACCTGGGAAAGATGCCAAAGGACACACCAGAGGAACGTGAGTTCCCAGCATCTCTTCAGTCCCATCCCACACATCCCCAAAGCCAGAGGCAGGTTCTGGAAAACCTTTGGAAAACCTTGGATTCGGTTATGCCAGGCTTCTCTGCTTTTTGCAGGAAGATGCATTCTCACTGCAGAAAGCTTGAAATATTCCCTTTTCCCTTCAGCTGTTGCACACACTGTGTCATTCCCTGCTGTCCCTGGAATGACATATGTGTAGGTGTCACAGTGGGATGGTGGCAGAAGAAAGCACGTGACATCCTGGATGGCCTGAAAGCTGTCTCATGGCTCAGTCCCTGCTGGCAAGCTGCTCCCAACCCCAGGAGGGGAACCCTGGCAGTGCCACCAGCTCCTTCCTTCCTGCTTCTCATGCTGAGCCTTCTTTCTGTTTGCCTGCCTGGATTTCAGCCTACACTGAGCTTTGTGCTTTACCCTGCAGTCACGAGACTGGAAACTTCCCCTTTTCCAATTAAAAGTAACTGGGCTTCTCACGTGGTCATTCGATACAACAAAGGGATTCAAAACAAGAACAGTTTCCCAACATGTTCCCGTTAACCTTCAGCACTGGTGAGCAGCAGCAGCAGCTCCTGTTTCACGGTGGAGGACATCGGTGTTATCTGAGCTGCTAATTGTGGGAGACAAAGGAGCAAGTTGGTGCCAAAGTGTCTGCCTGGACTGGTAAACAGCTGAGTACAAGCACACAACTTGTTCACACGTGTGGCACGACCCCACCAGAGCTGCCTGCCTGGGATGTGCTGCCTGCCAGGCAGTGCCTGGAGTAGATCTGTGTGTGTTTACCTGTGATTTCTCTGTACCTATGATTTCTGTCTACACGTGTGGCACACACTGTGGTTAGTTCCCCCTGCACAGGGGCTGTTTCTGTAGAGTTGGATGTGTCTGAGTTAGGGAAATGAGGCTGAGCTGGGTCTGCATATGGAAGAGAGAGGATGTGTGCAGCTGGGAATGAGGATTCAAGATACAATGGTCCATGTGTGGGTCAGGTATGGAGCATCTCTTCCATGAAGACAGGCTGGGGTGGTTCAGGCTGGAGATGGGAAGGCTCTAAGGGGGCTTATAGAAAGAAGGAACAGGGACTTTTTATACAGGCAGATAGTGACAGCACAATGGCTTTAAACTGACAGAGGGCAGGACTAGATATTAGGAAGAAATTATTTCCTCAGAGGGTGATGAAGTGCTTACACAGGTTGCCCAGAAAAGCTGTGGCTGCCCTGCCCC